TGGCGGTGGCCCTGGCCGAGGCGGCGTCGCTGGCCGAGGCTGCGGCGGCAGGCGAGGAGGCCGGGCGGACTATCGCCGAGCTGGAGAAGCAGCTGGCGGCGGCGGAGGCGGCGGCGACAGAGGCGGCCGCCTTTAAGACCGTCGCCGGCGAGAAGCTCGGCGCTGCTGAGGCTGAGAAGCGGGCGTTGGAGGACGAGGTGGCCAAGGCGGTGCTGGCAGCAGAGGTGGCGGCGCGCGAGGCCGCCGATGCCAAGGCCACCATCAGTCGCCTGCAGAACAAGGTCGCTCGCGTGTCACAGGCCCGTGAAGACGTGTCGCTGGTCGACGGCTCGGCGTCAGGCGTCGTCGTCACCGAGGAGAACGATCCAGCTGCCGCCGGCCTACCGTCCTCGGCGCCCGAGGACGATATGGTCGCGGCCCTCGACGCGGCCAACGGACGTATCGCCGAGCTTGAGGCTGCCAACAGCGATCTTTCGTCAGCGCTTGCGTTGGCCATGGCTGATCTCGAGGTGGCCAACGCCCGGGCCCTAGCGCTTGGCCGCGAGCTGCAGGACGCCGATGCCCGTGCCGATGCTGCAGAGCGAACAGCGGCAGCGGATGCGCTTGGTGCAGCTGATGCAGTGCTTGCCACCCTCCCACCGCTTGACGTCAGCCGGGAGGCGGATGCGACTTGCCTCTCGTCGTTTGTGCCGCCGCCGTCGGCCGGCAGCGCGCCGGGGACACCGCTGCGAGTGGCCGAGCTGGCGGCCGGCGGCGAATCGTCGGCCGGTAGCAGCCGAGTTGGGACGCCTGGCTCGCCAAACCTTGTGCTTGACGCGCTGTCCTCGGCCGGCGTCACATCGGCGGCGCTCAAGTCGCAGCTCAAAGGCAAACCACTCGCCGACGAAGTCCGCGACCTCAAACGGCAGATCAAGCAGCAGACCGACTATGTGCAGCGGCTGCATACCTCGCTCGATGCAGCTCTCGCCGACGCTGAGCGGTCCAAAGCCGAGCTGGAGACGAAGCGGGCCCAAGTTGATGCGCTCGAGGCCCAGGTGAGCACGCTTAAGCAACAGGCTGCCGACACGCGCGCAACAGCGGAGACACTCGAGGCAACAGCGACAAGCGTACAAGCCGCAGCGGTGGAGGCTATTGATGCGCGGATGTCATCTGTGACCTCCACGCGGGTGCTCGAGCTCGAAGCCGAGGCCGCGCGGCTGCGTAACGAGCTCATCGAGCGCACCGAGGAGCGAGCGGCGCTCAAACGAGCGCTCGCGGAGAGTGATGAGCAGGTACGAAGCGCAGTGGCGCTCCAGACTGAGCTCCACGAGGTCAAGGGCCGATACATGCGGCTGCAGCTTGAGATTGAGGCGCGCGGATCGGCGATTCCGGCTGCGGTGTGGGAAGATCGGCTTATGCAGGAGCGGGTGCGGGCCAAGGAGGCGACGCTCGAGCGCGAGGCGCTCGCTGGTGCGCTGCAGCGGGCCGAGGCACAGGCGCGCGAAGCTGAAGCGCGGGCAAAAAACCTTGATGCCGAGCTTGCGGGCCTTCGCGACAAGTACGAGACAGTTGTGCGACTCGGTCCGGACTCGTCAACCATCCACGCGCTCCGAGCGCAGCTGCACGCGGCGTTGGACGACCGCGACGCGGCGCGGCGCGAGGCCGAGGCTGCGCGGCATGAGGGTGCGGCAGCGACTCACGCCTCGCTCGCCACCTCGCATCGAACGCTCTCGGCGCTAGAAGACGAGCTCGGGCGGCTGCGCTCTGTCTTTGCCACCGAGGCAAACGAGCTCCACGTCCAACTCTCTGTGGAGCGGTCATCGAACGCAGCCCTCACGTCGCGCATCGAGAGCCTACAGATCCACAACGAGCAGCTGACTGCGCAGCTTGCGGCTGCACAGCGCGATGCAGCCCGGGCCTCACGCCTCGCTGCCCAGCTCGACACTGCCCAACGTCAGCTGGACGCGCGCGACGCCACCATCTCGCAGCTCGACATCGAGAAGGCCGCACTCGAGAAGGCGCTGCGCTCGGGCAGCACGGCATCTGCGCCCTCGCCATCACCTCGTCCCGAATATCGCTATTCGCAGGGAGGCACGTCGTACGGCGGCGGGTATGGATACGGCGGATACGGAGGGGGATACGGCGGCGGGTACGCTGGCGGCGGTAGCACAGCAGGCTACGGCGGCGGGCCGTCATGGCGGCGGCGAGCCGGCGATGACGACATCTCGCACCTGCTGTGAAAAGGCATGTGTGCATGCTTGTGCGGGTTTATGAAGGAAGAGCAGGACACTAGGAGGAGATGGCGGCGTTGATGGTGTCCTTGTCTTCCTTGAACTTGAACAGATCGAGGACGGGGCCGTAGTCCTCCGACGGATCCAGCAGCCGCGAGTGGAGGGCGATGGCGGCCTCCACCTTGGGATCACCAAACTTGAGAAGCGGGACAATGGTGGCGATCTGGGCGACGGTGAAGAAGAACTCCTCCGTCCGCAGCACGTTCTTGAGAATCCGCAGCCGGTCCTTGTCCTCCCGGTGGTTCTCCACCTGCTCGCACAGCTCCGACAGCTGCGACTCGGTGACCTGCTCGCCGCGCGACTGACCACCGCATGCATGCGCAAACACACCATGAGTGAGTGAGTTTGTGTGTGCGTGTGTGTGTGGGGTGTGGTGTGGAGGTGGAGGGCGCGTCCGTACCATGGCGTGTGTGTGTAGAGTGGCGTGTGTAGAGGCGCGTGTTTGTGGCTGTGGCGGTGGCTTCGTTGCCAGGCAACCAACCGACTCGAACCTGCCGAATCTGCCTGACCGACGACCGACGACTGACGCGCTGTGTGCGACCTGCTCGTCCACCGTGCCATGGAGCCCACCGCACGGCACCAACCCTTCCCCCACCCATCCCATTCCATCCACACCATCCATCCTCCACCACCGATCCCCCCACTTCCCCCCCCCCCCCCTCCCCCTTCCCCCCCCTCCCCCCACATCACCATCTGCCCGCCAGCCCAGGCCACGACCAGTCGCCACCACTCCACCTCTCCCCCTCCCCCCCCCTCCCCCCCCCCCCCATGGGCATCAATCCGCAGAACGGAGTAGTAGCCCTGGCGGCCCACATGGCTGCCGGCGGAGCAGTCAGCCCGACCCGGACGGGCCTGGTCCTCCACCCGCCGGGCGAGGTGGCGGCGGCCTGAGCGGCACCCGGTCCTCCCGCGGGCCCTCCCCACGCCCTTTGTGGCCCTCAATGGCCTCGGTCCGCCGTATCCGCTCGACTCACTGGCCTATCTCCTTGCCGCACACGCCGCAGGCTCGGCCGCCCCGCCTGCCGCCTCCCGCCCCGCCCTCGCCCTGGGCGCCCCTCGCCGTGCCCATCGCTCCGCTCGATGCAGGGCCCATCCTCGCTGTCCTGGCCGATCCGCACACCCTGGCCAGCATCCTCTCTGCCCGCGCCGCAGCTTTTGCTACTGCCACTGTTGGCCCTGCTGCCGGCCCTGCTGCCGGCCCTGCTGCCGGCCCTGCTGCCGGCCCGGGTCCGTCTCCAAGCTCTTCTGTCATCACGACAACGGGTACCGACGTCACGACGACGGATGCCGACGTCACGACGACGAGTGCCAATGCCAGGACGACGGGTGCCGATGGTGCTGGCGAAGATCATGGCAGTGGCGACGATGACGAGTTTGACATGATCTCGTCGCTCTCGCTGTCGGGAGATGTTGAAGACGAGGACGAGGTCGCGGCTGTACAGGAGGGCAGTTCGCAGGCTGTGGTTGAAGAAGAACTTGTGGTGGCTGTGCCAGAGCTGCCAGATGGCCTACTGCTCCCACCGGCGTCACCGAGTCTGGTTCTCGGCCGATCGAAGCTTCACCGGTCGCTGTCGATGATGGACTCGCTCTCGCTGGGGTTGGAGGGCGATGGAGGGCCAAGCGGTCATCAGCCGCCGCTGTCGTCGCCGCGGCGGCGGGCGGGGCGGCGGCGGCGGCAGGTGCACCGGTCGCGGTCGCGGGCAGCCGGCGGCGGCGCGGATGGGGTCCCCGGCGGCAGCCAGGTCGCCGCGGCGGCGGGCGGGGCGAGGTCGGCGCGCAGGCCCGGCCTCGTTTTTGACGCGCGAATGGTCCAGCACATGTCGCCGTCCGAGTGGACTCACCCCGAAGCACCGCACCGCGTGGTCTCGATCATGGCCGCCCTGCAGTACCGTGGGCTGGAGGCCAAGTTTGAGCGGGTGCCGGTCCGCCCGCTCACTCTCGACGAGGCCAAGACAGTGCATTCGAGCGCACACTGGTCGCACGTCCACGGCATCACCACTGCGTCGGTCAAGGCGCGCAAGAAGCTGGTGGCGGCCTGCAATTCGGTTTTTCTCAACAAGCACTCGGGCGTGGCGGCCGAGCTCTCAGCCGGTGGTCTACTCGAGCTCACCGCCCGCGTGGCCCGCGGTGAGCTCGGCTCGGGCGTGGCTGTCATCCGGCCGCCGGGCCATCACGCGGAGCGGTCGACTCCAATGGGCTTCTGCCTCTTCAACAACGTGGCCGTAGCAGCCGGTGTGGCTACATCGCCGAGTCTAGCTGGGCCATCGCTTGGCCTCAAGGCACCGCTCGCGCGGGTGCTCATCATCGACTGGGACGTCCACCACGGCAACGGCATTCAGAATGCCTTTGCCGATAACCCCGCTGTCATGTACTTTTCCATGCATCGCTTCGACAACGGCACGTTCTACCCGGGCTCGCCCGCCATCCCGTACTACGCCGCCGGGCCTGAGGCCACGGGTGTCTGTCCAGGCTCGGGTTTCAACTACAACGTGGCCTGGAACTACGACGAGCTGACGCCCGGAGCGACAGCCGAGCGTCCCTCAGGCTCGTTGCCGTCGGCCGCCGAGCTCCTCGACGGCGCCACCATCGGCGACGGCGACTACCTCGCTGTCCTACACCACGTCCTCCTCCCGCTCATGCAGCGCTACCAGCCGCAGCTTGTTTTCATCTCGGCCGGCTTTGACGCTGCTGCTGGCGATCCGCTCGGCGGCGCGAGCCTCACTCCGCTTGCCTACGCCACCATGACCGCCGCCATCCGCGATGCTGCGCCAGACAAGGTCATCCTCGCTCTCGAGGGCGGGTACTCGCTCAAGGCCATTGCCGACTCGGCCGCCGCCTGCGCCGCGGTCCTTGCCGGCGCCGAGCCACTCAATGCGCTCTCGCCATCGCAGGCTGGACTCGCTGCCATCCGCGCCGTCATCTCTGCCCACGCTGCGCCGATCGAACTGATGGGCGGCGCCGACGAGCCGCGGCCCGCCGTCTTTGCCCAGTGCCGCAACCCGCGCAACAACCCAGCAGCGGCGTCGTTGGCGTCGACCTCGGGCCGGGTTGTGCCCTCGTTCAAGATTTCCGGCACAGCGTCGAGCTCGGGCTCCGAGTCGGGCTCGCGCCGGTCGCGGCGCCGCCTGCAGGTCCCGTCGCGGCGGAACCGCAAGAAGAAGAAGAACCGTCGCAAGGGCGGCTCGCGGAGCGGGACCACCACCGGCTCGGCCTCGACCACCGTCTCGCCCTGCGATCTCTCCGGCTCCACGTCGGGCGTGTCCCGCAAGGGCGAGATCCACAATTGCCGCTGCCGCTCGTGGTTCCCGCAGACAAAGGTGGCCGAGCTTGACGCGCTCCACGCCGCCCGCGCTGCCTACATTGACGGCTTCAAGTTGCCGAACATGACTCAGGCGCTGGCTGGCGAGCTGACCCTGCCGGGCAACGTCGAGCCCAGCACCGACAAGCGGTGATGATGTGGTAGCTGCAGCCGATTGGCGGCATGAATCAGCCGCGAATACACACACAGGCGTAGTTTGCCACGGCTTGGCAGACGTTTATGGGCGCGGGACAAGCGGCGACGAGCCGGGTCGTGCGCGCGACGGGGCCGGGGCAACGGCGTCGGAGAACGATGCTGCGTTGTTGGCGACCGAGGCGCGGACGGCGGCCTGGGCGCCTGCAAGAAAGCGGCGCTGCTGGTGCGCGACACGAGCCTGGAGGGTCCGGCGCTCGACCTCGGGGAAGAGGAACGAGGTGACAAGGTCGCGAACAACGACGCTCGGCTCTTCGCGCTGAGCCTCGAGCTCGTCGACGAGGGTGTTGAGCTGGGCGGCCTTGAGGCGAGCCTCGTCGAGCGCCTGGTCGCGTGAGGTGGCGGCGACGGCCGAGGAGAGGACCGACTCGATGTACGAGTCAACTGACTCTTGGTGGGTGCCCATGATTTGTGCAAAGATCTCATCCTCGACCTTGCGGCGGGCCTCCTCGGCGACGCGGCGGCCGGACTCTGCAGCCTCGCGGCGGCGGCGCTCGCGCTCGGCGAGCTTGACCATGGCCGCGATGCGGCGCTCCTCGCGGAGACGAACAAGCTGCTTTGAAAAGTACTCGAGCGCGTTGCCGACAACCGAGCCGAGCGCAGACTCGACGGCGGCCGACTTGGCTTTGGCTGAGCGCGCCGTCTTGTCGCGGGCGGCACGGGCGGCGAGGGCGTCGCGACGGAGCTGGGCGAGCTCGTTGCGCTCGACCTGGGAGACGGCGTGGACGGAGCGGAGCTCCTGGATGAGCGGGAGCCGGCGCTCCTTGCCCTCGAACATCGTGTTCTGAACGGCGCGCCCACGGATGAGGGACTGGATGAGGATGACGGCGACGTCCTTCTCCTCCTCGGCCTTATCGGGCTGGTGGAGCTGCGGGGTGGGCGGCCGCGGCGGCGGCTTTTCGATGCGATGGGCGCAGGTGAGCGGCGTCCGCGGGCGCTGGGACGTGTCCTTGCGCTTCTTGATGGCGCGGTCGACGACCTCGAGCTGCTGAGTCACCTTGCGCATCTTGCGCTCGGCCGGGGTGCGGGCCTTGGTATGGCGGATGGGGATGTCGATCTTGGGGGTAAAGGCGTCGGTGGGAATAAAGGCCTCGAGCTCGTCGAGCGCGGCGCGCGACGAAAGGTCAATGGCATAGGAGATGTCGTACAGCTGGGCGGTGTCCTGGGTGTCGCGGGCCTTGCCGCTCCGCTTGGCCCCGGCGTAGACGTGCGAGCCAAAGTCTGCATACTCGGCCACAATGTCACGTTTGGTGGCCTCGAGCGCCGAGAGCGAGAGCAGCGGGTCGAGCTTCTTGCGGCGGCGGGCGAGCTTGCGCAGGGTCTTGATGCGGGCGGCTTGGACGTTGGAGACCTTGACCTCTTTGGCGAGAGTGTTGAGTCGCCAGACCTCGGCAACGCGCTCGTTGTTCAGCTCCTCGTTCTCGACGTCGGCCTGCTCGATCATCTGGCGGAGGACCTCGAGCCGGGCCTGCTGCAGACGCTCGATCTCCTCCTCGCGCTCGCGCCACTCTTGCATCTCCATCTCCTCCATCATCCGCTGGCGGAGCTCAAACTGGTCCGGGTCGTCAATGGGCGGCAGCGAGGCCTCCCACGCCCGCTTTTCGCGCGCCTTCTCAATCAACTCGATCTCGTCCATCGTGACTGGAAGGCCGTGGCCGTAGGTAAACATGGCGAGCGAGAGGAGCTCGGGCTCTTCGCCGTCTCGGGTCACGTACTCGGGCGTGTATGGATCGGTTTGCGCCTCAGACTCGCGGTAGAGGGTCTGGACGCCAACAGACCGTGCGCCCTCACGCGTGCCTCTGCTGCCGGCGCCCTCGCCGGCGCTCTGCAGCCCGGCGTCGACCGCTGACGTCCGCGTCGCGCCCGCTGCGGAAGCCAGTCTCCCGCTCCGCGAGTCGACGCCCAGCCGCGAAGCGCCGCCCGAAGTCGCACCGCCCATGGTCTGCAGGGCACTTGCCGCCGCATCAGCCGCCGCAACCTGCTCCAGCATTGTGCTCGGCGCCACCGTCCGCATGTAAGGCACCACCGACTTGCGGAAGTACTTGGCCCTGTTCGGGCCCGTGACCTGGCTCGGCGAGGATCGTTCTACATGGCCGAGGCCAGTCGATCATGCCCATCGCCGACCATGTCCCACAACCACCACGTCGCCCATCCGTCAACCCAACCATGAGTCAATTCCTCGCCCTTGCCTCTGTCCTGTCACTGTCCGTGGCCACCCTTCCCCATGCCACTCTCCAGGATCTCGACCATGATGGCCATGATCGTGATGGCCATGCCCATGTCCATGACCTCGACCATGATGGCCATGCCTATGTCCATGACCACGACCATGATGGCCATGCCCATGTCCATGACCTCGACCATGATGGCCATGCCCATGTCCATGACCACGACCATGATGGCCATGCCTATGTCCATGACCTCGACCATGATGGCCATGCCTATGTCCATGACCACGACATGATGGCCATGCCCATGTCCATGACCTCGACCATGATGGCCATGCCATGTCCATGACCACGACCATGATGGCCATGCCTATGTCCATGACCTCGACCATGATGGCCATGCCCATGTCCATGACCTCGACCATGATGGCCATGCCCATGTCCATGACCTTGACCACTGATGGCCATGCCTACTGTCCACTGATCACGACCATGATGGCCATGCCTATGTCCATGACCTCGACCATGATGGCCATGCCCATGCCCATGCCTATGCCCCCCCCCCCCCACTGCCTCACTTCATGCCTATGCCCATCCCCCCCCCTTCCACGTACCCCCACGGGAGCCAAACCCGGTCTCCGGCCCATTCCACACCTGATGCTGAGCAGGACGGGTCTGCGAAGCCATCAGCAAGTTGTACGCATACGCCGCACGCGACTGGCTTGTCTGCGTCGTCGTCGACATGGCTGCTCCAGCGCACACTGTAGAATACACAAGGTCGGATGCGGTGGTAGCCAGTCGGGCTAGCAGGGAGAGAAGGGAGGAGAGGGGAGGATGTACTCCTGGTCGCGCTCCTGTTGCCTCTCCTGCTGCGGCAAGTGAAGTGGCTGCCCTCCCCCCCCCGCCCCCCGCCCCCCGCTGCCGTCCTGTCGCTCTCCCCGCTCGGCTCGGCTGGCAACGGACGCCCGCCCGACCTGACCGACCGCCCGCCCGCCCGACTGACCGCCCGCCCGCCCGACCGCCCGCCCGCCCGACCGCCCGACCGACCGCCCGACCGACCACCTGCCACCCGCCGCCCGCCCGATGATCCCAACAGCGCAATGAAGATTGTGATATATATATATATATGTGTGTGTGTGGGGGGGGTGGGAGGACTCGTTGTCGCTGTCTAGCCACAGATTGATGTTGTGATGATCTCGTGGATGCTTGATGTCATCATGCCTCGCTTCATGCTCGGAAGACTGGCATCCACCTCCCCCATGCTTCTTGCCTGCTTTCTCTCGTCGACAGCAGTATGACTGTGTCTTGTCTTGTCTTCTTCCGATCATGCCCATGGCGGCCTATTGATCGCAGCCGAGATCCCATGATTATGGTCGATGGCTATTGATTGTGGCAGGACGACTTTGCGACCACAGCGCTCCGGCTCGCGTGGCCTCTGCTCGGTGCACTCAACTTCAGTTGCTAGTGTGCAGAGACACGCCACGTAGCAGAGCTTGGCTACGGGGGACCCAGTTGTGCGTGCTCGAGACACCCGGGCCGCTTCACCCCATCCCTGCCCTGCCCATGGCCGACGAGTACGAGTTTGAGGCCGAGTCGCCCACCGAGCTCGCTCTCCCTCAGACGCCCAGCCCCAAGCTGAGGAAAGCCTCAAGCCATCGGAGAAGATCACGTACGTATCCCCAAACCACCCGCCACCGACATCATATCTCTTGCATCCCTACTATCCCTATTCTGTTTCTTTTCCTCGGCATCATTCGCGGCAAGCTGCCCGGGAGAGTGTACCCCCCCCCCCCCCCCTGCGTGATCGATCACCGCGGGCGATCGCCGCTGCGATCACCCCTCTGACGGCCTTTTCCTGAGCCTCCGGCCGGCGCTAAGCATCTGATGCCGCCATCGCCTGAGCATTTTTGCGGCTGCTGCAGATGTAGGCGGGGCCAACTCAACTCACGCTACGAGGCTGTGTGGGAGTGCGGACAGGATCGGGCGCGAGTAAGGCCAATCCGGTGGATGTCGACACCAGCAAGGTCCCTGCAGTCGATCTCGTCACGGTGTTGAAGGCCGAGCACAGGACGAGTGCGTCTGCGTCGAGCTCGCAGTACAACTCGCGTGCCTCTTCAGCCATAGTCCCGTCGTCGACCCGCACGCGCCGGCTGATCTCTTTTGCCAAGAAGCCCCAGGACTACTTGCGCCCCGGCCAGACCCTCACACCTTCGTTGTTTGCCAAGATCGAGAGCAGTGCTCGCCAGTCGGCACAGCGCGACATTCCGTCGACAGCTGGCATTGCTGTTCCGCGCGCTATTAGCGAGCGGAAGTCCGGATCGCGGACTCGGGTCATGCGGGATAGGCACGGCAAGGCCGCGCCAGCAATCCGCCGCAGGCCGCCGACAGGGCGCAACCAGCAGACCTTGCCGTTCTCTCAGCCGAGTACGCCGTCTCCCGTGCGCGTGCTCGCGCGGCAAGCCAAAGCGGTGGGGTCCGTCAACGGCTCAGCCTTTGCAACCGCTGCGCCGGCTGCTGGCGAGGAGATTGAGTTTACCCAGCGCTTGAAGGTCAGCTGCGGCCCATACGCCAAGTTTGTTATCGCCGACGGGACGCGGCTTGATGTCAAGTCGCTGGTGTTTTTCCCCAAGAAGCTGACCATCGAAGGCGAGGACTCATCCCACAACGGCGAGCTCAAGCCGACACGGTTCAAGATTGTGGTGCCGTACACGTCAGTCGGCTCTGTGGCGATGTACTACCCCCGCGACCGGATTGTCGAGCACCATCATGTTCTCGAACCGTACATGCATGTGACGCTCACTGGGAGCATGACGGTGCGGCGGGTGAGCGAGGGTAGTCGCAAGACAGAGTCGAGCTCTGACGTCATTATCGTCTTTGACGGTGGCCTGGTGACCAGGCTGCGGACGTGTCTTGACAGCATGTGGCGCAAGCTTGGCCTTGAACGCGAGCTCAACGGCAAGCTGAAGCAGCTGAAGAACCAGGACGAGGCCGATGACTGCCTGGCCATCCTTCAGCAGTACGCGCCCAAGTGCGTCGGCGATGGCGGTGGGGTCGCAGCAAGCCGGAGGCGGCGGTCGAGCCGGCGGCGTCGGTCGACGGCGCGGAGCAGCCGGGCGACCTTGATTGACATCGACGACGTGGCTTCAGGCATTGTCGATGTTGAGGAGTCGGACAAGCAACTGTTTGTGTTTCCGGACGTCGACGGCGCGGCGGCAGCCAAGTCTGTGGTCATCACCTCGCGCGAGCTGCGGATGCTCGAACCGGGCTACTTTCTCAACGACACCCTCATGGAGTTCTACGCGCTCTATTTGCAAAGCGCCAAGGCCGAGTACGATGGGCGAGTTACCATGCACGACTCGAGCTACCACATCTTCAACTCGTTCATGTACACCAAGATGGACTCGGGCGTGGCCGGCATCCGGCGGGCAGTCAAGTGGTCGGGCAAGGTCCGGAACATGCTCGATGCCGACTTTCTCTTCTTTCCCATCCACAAGGCCATGCACTGGAAGCTGGCCGTGGTCATCGGCTACGCCTCGGCGCTGCGCCCTCAGCGTGCTGCGTCGCGCGCAAGCAACCTCCGCCCGCTCATCCTAGTCTACGACTCGCTCCACCCGCGGAATGCCCAGCACGTGCCCAGCACCGTCCGTGATTTTTTGGTGGCTGATCTCGAAGCCCGCATCGCCGCCGACTCTCTCCCACCCGACATCACGCCCGAGGCCATCGCCGAGCCGCGCGAGTTCTTTCGCCAGTTTCAGGGCCAGGGCGTCGACGGCACACTGCAGCAGAACTCGTGCGACTGCGGCCTCTTTGTCCTCCACGTCATCGAGCTCTACCTCCAGCTCAGCCCGAAAAAAGTGACCAAGAACCACCTCCCGGTCGACAAGACCACGTTTTCTCAGGAGGACATCACCACCAAGCGCGTCGAAATGCAGTCCATCATTTCCAAGCTCGCAGAGGACTGGGCCGCAACGCATGGCGCGGCCGAGCCGGCCGTTGCCGCCGCCGTCACTGACGACGACGACGACGAGCTCATTGCCGCCGACAACCTACACGACCTCGAGGTGGCGTACTCGGCGATGTGTCAGTCGGCGGCCGCCGACGCTGAGGCTGACGAGAGCGAGGACCAAGGCGAAGACGATGACGACGACAAGGCTGTTGCAGTCCCCACTGAGGAGACTGGCGGCAGCGGAAGCAGCAGCGGCAGCGGAAGCAGCTCTGGCTTGGAGGCTAGTGCTGAGGGTGATGGAGATGACGGCAGCGACGGCGGAAGCGACGGCGCGAGCGATGACCGGAGTGATGACGGGAGCGACGGCGAGAGCGACGGCGGGAGCGACGGCGAGAGCGACGGCGAGAGGGAAGACAAGGTGGAGTCTCCGGAAGACACACAGCCGGTCGTGGAGATCGTGTCAACCTCATCGTCATCGTCGTCATCGGCTTCCTCCTCGTCGTCGGGGAGCAAGGGTGAGGGTGAGAGCGAGGGTGAGCTGTCTCAGCCCAAGATCGTGGCGGACGATAACAGCGAGGTCGCGGTCGACACTACCGCTGAAGTGGTAGCTGCCGAGCTAGGTCAGGAGCCGTCGCCGTCGCCGTCGTCGTCTTCGCCGCTGTCGACGTCGTCGGTCCTGACATCGTCGTCGTCTGGCCCGACCGATGCTGGCCGCGGCAGTATGGCATCTGAGCTGGAGCCGATGGATATTGCGTCGCGCTCGAGCTCTGTTGAGCTGCTCGCGCAGGCAAATGAGGCTGGCGAGACGAGCGCGACTGCACCCGAAGAAGCGGAGCCTTTGACGACGCAAGAGGATGATGTGCTGTTTGTTGTGCCGCCGGACGAGGGCGATGACTTTGGCGAGTCGAGGAAGCGCCGGCGAAGCGATGATGACAACCACGGGCAGCGCCCCAGCAGTCACGGGACGTCGAAGTCCTCAAAGCTGCGAAAGGCTAAGAAGCGCAAGACGAGGCACCCGACGCCCATCAAGCCTTCAGGCAGCCCGAGCGTGCCGAACTCGCTGTCTGCACGCCGCGGGCGTGGCAAGAAAGCCCTCAGCCGTTCCGCGCCGGCCTCTGCATCGGTCGTCGTCTCCCCAGCAGAAACCCTTGCTCTCGTCGACGACGGATACCTCTAGGCATGCCCCACCGCTGGCGATAAACCATGGTCGACCGACCGAGCCCGACCGACCGAGCCTGACTGACCGTGCGCATCGGCTTGCCGCCACTTGCACATCTGAGCGTGAACGAACACGCGAACCAGGTTGTCAACGATTAATCCTCGAGGAAGGCCATGGTGGCCAAATTGCTCGATTGCCAGCAAAGCAGTGACAGTGACGTGTGGCGGGCGAGACGAGACAGGCCGTCTCCGGCACGAGCATGGGCATTGGTACGGACTAGCACTCAACTCTGCCCATTGAAGAGGAGCAAGAAGATGGGGGTGAGGCTGAGGAAGCGATGGAGGCTCCCTGTGGTGGTCATTGTGGTGATGAGCATGTCGGCGTACTGGGCGTTGACGCTGGTGGACGAGCCCGTGGCGGTCAAGGTCCCCACCGGCAGCTGGGCTGGACACCACTCGGCGAGTGCTGGCGGTGCGGGCGGCGATGGCGGCGGTGGTGGGAGTGGCAAAGTGGCAGACGGCGGAGGGAGCCGGCAGACGACGACGACAGGCGGCCGAGGCGGACGAACGACGAGCGCCAAATCAGGTGGTCATGCCACTGGAGGCGGACACACCAGTGGAGCCACCTCGCCATCGTTGTCATCAGGATCATCGTCGTCGTCTTTGTCGGCTGGTCGCTCTCCTAGACCGGCCTTGTCGGCTGCGGCGAGGCCGATGCCGTCGCCGTCGCAGCCGGGCTTGCCGTGGTTGTGGGGCGTGAACAGCGGGTTTAGTCGGGCTGGCGAGGGCGGTAGCGACGAGCCGGCAGTCTCTGCTGTAGCGATGGACTCCAGCAGTGGTGCTGGGCGGTGGATTGCCGATGAGGGCAGGCTGGTGGCGAATGATCGGCTGCGGATCGAGGCGGAGATCGATGCGGGCGGCGGGAGCGCCGGGCTGATGCCGGCTATGTGGGCCATGTGGCGGGTGGAGAAGGTGGCAGCCGGCGGGCACTCGGTGGCGCTGACGTCGGGCGGCGGAGTGGTTACCTGGGGCCGCAACTCATCGGCAGGCGGCGGTGGCGGCGGATCACCTCCAGTCCATGCATCTGGCCAGCTCGGTCGCTTTGATGACCACGGATCGCCGGGCGTAGTGACGGCACTGGCGGGCATTGAGGTTGTCGACGTCGCCGCAGGACGGTACCACTCTGCAGCGGTCTCGGCCGACGGCGTGCTCTACACTTGGGGCCTCAACGACTTTGGCCAGCTCGGGCGGCGCGGGATTGCCGGCGACGACGGGGTTGCGGCGCCGATGCCGGGCTCACCCGAGGAGGCGACGCTGCTGAGCCAGCGGTGTAGTGGGGGCCATGCTGCGCCTGCGCCAGCGTGCTGTGGCGGCGTCGGGTGCCGCGACGGCTGGCCACGGGCTGTACCGGTGGCACGCGGCGTTGTGTTTGTAGCGGTCACTGCTGGGCGTTACCACACAACGGCAGTGGCCGCCGACGGCTCAGTCTACACCATGGGTCTCAACGTGTGCGGGTGGACGGGCGAGCAGAGCGCGTTTTCGGTGGCGGCTGGCGCGGCGGCACGGGTGATGGCGGCCGAGGCCGAGGTCATTGGCGTCGACGCGGGCTACCACCACGTGCTGGCGCTGACGAGTGACGGCAGCGTCCTCTCGTGCGCGACTGGGTTCGACGGCTATGCCAACGCACTCGACGGGTCGGGCGAGATCGGCGTGCCGCAGTGGGACGGCGGCGGCGGGCCGGTGGCGGCGCGACAGGCGTTGCTCGGCCGGTCGGAGCACCATCTGAAGCTGAGGCCGGTTGAGGCGGCGGTGTCATTTGCGGCGGTGGCTGCCGGGAGAGAGCACTCGCTGGCGCTAAGCGACGACGGCGAGCTGTGGGCGTGGGGAACGCGGCCGGAGGCGATGGGCACAACCGCGCCTGCGATGAAGCCGCAACGGGCGCAGGCTGTCCTCGACATGGAGGGCGATACCAAGTCTACCGCGGCCGGCCTGCGGTTGGCGGCCATTGATGCTGGCGAGTACCACACTGTTGCGCTGACGGCAGGCGGTCAGGTGCTGACGATGGGCAGCAACCCGTCGGGGTGCTTGGACATGGCGCGACGATTGGTGTGGTAGCCCCGAACGCGTTTGACCACGGGCTGATTGTGGGCATTGCCGCTGGCTACCAGACGAGCGTGGCGGTGGTGTACGGCGTTCCGCAAGCTGCGGCGGCAGCGGCAGCAGGCGCGACGCGCGGGTCGGGCACGTACCCGCATGCCGGGCCTGTGGTGAGCAAAGTCGACGAGGCGATGCGTGCGGTAGATCCACATCTGTTCGAGGTGCTCGAGGCCAGCGGATGGGCGTACGATGAGCGGCGGCGAAATCCATGCGTGGAAGTGGAGGGCAAGGCGCGGTGCTTCCCGTTCTTCCAAATCTTGGGCGTGTCCAAGTGCGGGACGACTAACCTGTTCCACCAGATGATGGGTCACCCTGGGCTTCGGGCCGCGTCGAACAAGGGCCCGCACTGGTGGGACGAGCGGCGGCCGGGAGACGACATGATGGGTCTCGGTCCGGTGGAGGCGTACTGGGATCTGTTCGAGAGCACGGCGGAGGCGTCGGCAAAGAACGAGCTGATCATCGGCGGCGAGGCGTCGTCGAACACGTTTACCTTTACCGGCGTGGCGGTCCGCGGCAACCACAATACCGACGTCCTCCTCCCGGCTTTTCTCCATGCGGTGCTCCCGGAGCAGCGGCACATTGTGGTCTTCCGCGAGCCGGTCTCGCGGTTCATCTCTGCGTACTACTACTACAACCACGAGTCGCCAACCGAGGCCAAGCTTGTGGCGCACGCGCACGATGTGTGCGAGCTGTGGGACAAGTGCATGGTCGGGAGCAACGCAGCAGCGTGCTCGCGGCAGCTGTACATGCGCGGCGCCCAGCAGCTGGTCAAGGGCATGTACGGGCTGTACATCGACGACTGGCTGGCTTCGTACCCGGCGACTCGGTTCCTCTGGCTCCGGCTGGAGGACTACAAGGCGATGCCACAGGCGACGCTTGGCCGGATCTACGCCTTTCTGGGCGCCGATGCGCCGACGGCGGAGGTGTGGGCCAAGGTCCTCGAGGCGCCGACCCGCAACAAGCGGCGGCCGAACGCGCCGACAACCACGGTGGCCACGCTCGACCCAGAGGTCCGCGCCAAGCTGCAAGCGGTGTACCGGCCGATCAACGCGCTGCTCGCCGACAAGCTCGGCCCGCACTTTGACTACAACGTCGGGTACGATTAGATAGCGAAGCGTGTTTGCGGACCAGTCTGTTTACAGCGCGAGTTAAAACACGATGCTGGCCGCAGGTCATGAGGACGGCGTAGCGGCCGGCAGGTTGAGCGAGGGGAAGTACGGCGAGGCGGCGCCTGGGAAGAGGCCCTCCGCGGTGACGGCGAGGATGTTCAGATCTGCGTTGAGCGACTTGAAGTCGCGAGCGACGTCGTCGACGAGCGAGCGCGACTTGTCGACCTCGCCCGAGGCGCCGTCGATCTCCTTGTGGGCCTTCTCAAACACCTTGCTGTACTTGCGGCCGAGCCGCTTCCGCAGAGCCGCGTTCTTCTCCCGCAGCTTGCGCTGCGACGCCGAGTCCGGTGGCAGCATCCGCACCACCCGCGGGCCGACCACGGCCTCTGTCTCGCCACCCACTGCATTTGTCCCTGCCTCTGGGCCACCCTCTGCGTCCTGGCCACCCTGATCCTGCTCATGGACAGGGTGTGCGTCTTGAGCAGGGTCATTCCCAGCAAGTTGTGTCACGCCGCCGTCGTCCGCATCGTCTACGAGCGCATTGTTGCTGTCGGCCTCGTTGCCGTTGTTGTCGGCCTCGTCCACCGCACCATCATCATCATCCTCCCCGCCAGCGACCACTCCGTCGCCCGTCACCTGTTCGCCGTCGGGCACATGCCGCCCACCCGCATTTTGCCCTTCACCATGCCGCCCACCGCCGTCACCACCAGTGCCTTCCCCACCAGCCTCCTCCACCCCACCGTCCTTCTCAGCCTCCATGCCCATGCCCATGGTAGGGGGGGTGGTGGTGGGAGCTGAAGGCTCGTCCTCCTCGGCTGCCTCACCCATAACAATGGTGGGTCCCTTCTTCCTCCGCCGTCTGCCCATGGTGTGACTGGGTAGTGGGGTGTGTGGTGCTTATCGTGGCTATCGTGGCTGTTCGTGGCTGTGGCTGAAGGTGGCCGTGACCTGTCACATGGTTGGGGCGAAGGGGAAATAATCGTTGCTTTTTGGTCGATGGCTGACCTGCGAGTGGTCGAGTGGCCGATGCGAGTGGCCGGTGTGTGAGTGGCCGATGTGTGAGTGGCCGGTGTGTGAGTGGCCGATGTGTGAGTGGCCGGTGTGTGAGTGGCCGGTGTGTGAGTGGCCGATGTGTGAGTGGCCGATGCGAGTGGCCGATGCGAGTGGCCGGTGTGTGAGTGGCCGATGTGTGAGTGGCCGGTGTGTGAGTGGCCGATGTGTGAGTGGCCGGTGTGTGAGTGGCCGGTGTGTGAGTGGCCGATGTGTGAGTGGCCGATGCGAGTGGCCGATGCGAGTGGCCGGTGTGTGAGTGGCCGATGTGTGAGTGGCCGATGTGTGAGTGGCCGGTGTGTGAGTGGCCGATGTGTGAGTGGCCGATGTGTGATTGGCCGATGTGTGATTGGCCGGCGTGCGAGTGGCCGATGTGCGAGTGGCCGGTGTGTGAGTGGCCGATGCGAGTGGCCGATGCGAGTGGCCGGTGTGTGAGTGGCCGATGTGTGAGTGGCCGGTGTGTGAGTGGCCGATGCGAGTGGCCGATGCGAGTGGCCGATGTGTGATTGGCCGGCGTGCGAGTGGCCGATGTGTGAGTGGCCGGTGTGTGAGCGGCCGGTGTGCGAGTGGCCGGTGTGTGAGTGGCCGATGTGTGAGTGACCGGTGTGAGAGTGGCCGATGTGCGAGTGGCCGATGTGCGAGTGGCCGATGTGAGAGTGGCCGGTGTGTGAGTGGCCGATGTGCGAGTGGCCGATGTGTGAGTGGCCGGTGTGTGAGTGGCCGGTGTGCGAGTGGCCGATGTGTGAGTGGCCGGTGTGTGAGTGGCCGGTGTGTGAGTGGTCGGTGTGTGAGCGGCCGGTGTGTGAGTGACCGGTGTGCGAGTGGCCGATGTGTGAGTGACCGATGTGTGAGTGGCCGGTGTGTGAGTGGCCGATGTGTGAGTGGCCGGTGTGCGAGTGGCCGATGTGTGAGTGGCCGGTGTGTGAGTGGCCGACCTACGAGCGACGAATGACCGAACGTGACAACAACACCTGCACTCGGCTCTCTCCGGCTCCTCCCCCCTCCCCCCCCCACTCACCATTCCAGCAGGAGTATGTCCTCTGCCGAGTACAAGGACACGTATGACACTATCAAGCGGGGCATTGAGAATGGTATGTTTACTGTGGTGGTGGTGGTGGTGGTGGTGGTGGTGGTGGTTGTGTGTGTGTG